ACACAATCATAGTAGGGGATTTGAACACCCCACTATCAAAAATGGACAGATCTTCCAAACAAATTATCAAAAAAGATATTGTGGCATTAAACAACACCCTAGATGAAATGGACTTAACTGATATATATATAGAGCCCTTCATCCCAAAGAAGCTAAATACACATTCTTTTCAAATGTACATGGAACATTCTCAAAGATAGACCACATGATAGGACACAAAAGGAGCCTCAACAAATTCAAGAAAATTGAAATCATACCAAGCATCTTCTCTGACCACAAGGCACTGAAATTAGAAACCAACCCCAAAGAAAAAAACCCAAAGCACCCAAAAACATGGAGACTGAATGGTATGCTATTAAACAATGAATGGGTCAAGAATGAAATTAGGGGAAGAAATCAAAACATTTCTGGAAACAAATGAAAATGATCGCACAACAACCCAAAACTTATGGGACACAGCGAAGGCAGTCCTGAGAGGGAAGTTTATAGCAATACAGGCCTACCTAAAGAATATAGAAACATTTCAAACAAACAACCTAACCCTACGCCTGCAAGAACTTGAGGAACAACAACAAAGACAGCCCAGAGCAAGCAGAAGGAAGGAAATAACCAAGATTAGAGCAGAATTAAATGACATAGAAACTAAAAGCACAATTTTAAGGATCAATGAATCCAGGAGTTGGTTCTTTGAGAAGATAAACAAAATAGACAAGCCTTTAAGTAGGCTCATCAAGAAAAGAAGAGAGAGGACACAAATAAACACAATCAGAAATGAAAAAGGAGAGATTACAACTGATACCACAGAAATAGAAGAGATTGTAAGAAATTACTATGAAGAACTGTATGCCAAGAAATTTGAAAACCTAGGGGAAATGGACACATTTCTAGAAAAATACAATCTTCCAAAACTCAATGAAAAAGAAGCAGAAAATCTAAATTCACCAATAACAGCAAAAGAAATTGAAGCAGTAATCAAAAAACTCCCAGCACACAAAAGCCCCGGACCAGATGGTTTCACAGGAGAATTCTACAAAGCATTTAAGGAAGAGCTAACCCCTATTCTCCACAGACTATTTCAAAAAATTCAGAAGAATGGAAAACTCCCAAATTCTTTTTATGAAGCCAGTATCATCTTAATTCCAAAACCAGATAGAGACACAACAAAGAAAGAAAACTTCAGGCCAATATCGCTGATGAACATAGATACTAAAATCCTCAACAAAATATTGGCAAATCGCATCCAACAATATATCAAAAAGATCATACACCATGATCAAGTAGGATTCATCCCAGGAATGCAAGGATGGTTCAATATTCGCAAATCAGTAAATGTAATACATCATATAAACAAAAGCAAAGACAAAAATCACATGATCATACCAATAGATGCAGAAAAAGCTTTCGATAAGGTACAACACCCATTTATGATAAAAACACTCAGCAAAGTGGGAATACAAGGAGCATTTCTCAAAATAATAAAGGCCATATATGAGAGACCTACAGCCAATATCATACTCAACGGGAAAAAACTAAAAGCTTTTCCACTAAGATCAGGAACAAGACAAGGTTGTCCACTTTCACCACTTCTATTCAATATAGTATTGGAAGTTTTAGCCATAGCGATCAGGCAAGAAAAGGAAATAAAAGGCATCCAAATAGGAAAGGAGGAAACAAAACTGTCACTGTTTGCAGATGACATGATAGTGTACATGGAAAATCCTATAGACTCTACCCAAAAACTCCTCAAACTAATTGATGAGTTTGGCAAAACAGCTGGTTATAAAGTCAATATCCAGAAATCAAAGGCATTTTTGTATACCAACAGTGAATCAGCAGAAGCAGAAATAAAGAGAAAAATCCCATTTGATATAGCAAAAAGAAAAATAAAATATCTGGGAATAAACCTAACCAAGGAGGTAAAAAACCTGTATGCAGAAAACTACACAGCCCTGAAGAACGAAATCAAGGAAGACACAAACAAATGGAAACATATACCTTGTTCATGGATTGGAAGAATTAACATTATCAAAATGTCCATACTACCCAAAGCAATATACAGATTCAATGCAATACCTATTAAAGTACCAATGGCATATTTCACAGACATAGAACAAACACTTCGAAAATTTATATGGAACCATAAACGAGCTCGAATAGCAGCTGCTCTTTTGAGAAAGAAGAACAAAGTAGGGGGGATCACAATACCTGATATCAAACTGTATTACAAGGCCACTGTAATCAAAACAGCCTGGTACTGGCATAAAAACAGGCACATAGACCAATGGAACAGAACAGAGAGCCCAGAAATCAACCCAACTCTCTACAGTCAATTAATATTCGACAAAGGGGGCAGTAACATAAAATGGAGTAAAGATAGCCTCTTCAACAAATGGTGTTGGGAGAACTGGACAGCTACATGCAAAAAAATGAAACTTGAGCACAGACTTACACCATACACCAAAATAAATTCAAGGTGGATAAAAGACTTAAATGTAAGTCATAACACCATTAAAGTCCTAGAGGAGAACATTGGCAAGAAAATCTCAGATATTTCACGCAGCAACTTCTCTACTGATATGTCCCCTAGAGCAAGGAATGTAAAGGAAAGAATAAACAAATGGGATCTCATCAAAATAAAAAGCTTCTGCATGGCTAAAGAAAACAGTATTAAATTAGCAAGACAACCAACTGTATGGGAAAACATATTTGCCAATGATACCTCAGACAAAGGTTTAATCTCTAAAATATACAAAGAACTTACACGACTCCACTCTAAGAAGACACCCAACCCAATTAGAAAGTGGGAAAAGGACTTGAACAAACACTTCTCCAAGGAGGACATACAGAACATTCAGAGACACATGAAGAGATGCTCAATATCATTAGCTATCAGAGAGATGCAAATTAAAACCACAATGAGATACTACTTTACACCAGTCAGGATGGCTATCATAAACAAAGCAACAAACAACAAATGTTGGAGGGGTTGTGGGGAAACGGGGTCCTTAGTTCACTGTTGGTGGGAGTGCAGACTGGTACAACCATTATGGAAAACAGTATGGATTTTTCTCAGAAAAATAAAAATCAACCTGCCTTTTGACCCAGCAATTCCACTGCTAGGATTATATCCTAAGAATCCTAAAACATCAATATCAAAGAACCTATGCACCACAATGTTCATAGCAGCACAATTTACAATAGCCAAGAGTTGGAAGCAACCTAGGTGCCCATCAGTAAATGAATGGATCCAAAAATTGTGGTACATATACACAATGGAATTCTATGCTGCAGAGAGAAAGAAGGAGCTACTACCCTTTGCAACAACATGGATGGAACTGGAAAGCATTATGCTGAGTGAAATAGGCCAGGTGCTGAAAGAGAAATACCATATGATCTCACCTTTAACAGGAAGCTAAACAACAAAACAAACAAGTAAGCAGAAAAAAAAAAAACCCAAAAAACAAAGACACTGAAATAGAGAACAAGGGGATAGTGACCAGAGGGGAGAAGGAAGGGAAGTTAAGGGGAAAAAGGGGGGAGGGATTTGGAGGAACAAATAGGAAGGACACAGGGACGAGAACTAAGGGGGAGGGAGGAAATGGGAGGGAGGTGGGGAGCAAGGGGCAGGGGAGGCTGGGATGGGAAAAATAGACAAAAAACTGTACTTGAAAAATAACTAAATAAAATTAAAAAATTAAAAAAAAAATTATACTTGGGGCTCAAACTATATATTTTTACTTTTATGTGTATGCTAACCTCTAGAATTTTGGTTCCAGAGGGCAGTGCATGAACAACTGAAATTTAAACAATAGAAGACAGATTCTTTCAGAGATTAATGCCATTTTCTGGCTTACATGATGTGGTTTAGTGGGATTAGGACTCTTCTTAATCTTTCCCTTTTTCATCATTTTTTGTGTTAGTTTAATTCAAAAACATTTTTAATCACTCAATGTGGACTAGGCACTATACTGGGCACTCAGGATGAAAGGAAAAGTAAAACGAATTTCAGCTAGCTTTTTCAATGCTTCCTGACAGCATAGCAATGCTGGCGTAAGGAGACTGTTATTCACCACCTAGGACCTCCAGAATTCTGTGCTATCCATCTCCAGTGATGTTCTGAAAAGTAAAGGCTGTGCTCAATATACAGGTAGAAGGAAGAAATTAGCGCCGACATACTTTTTGTTAAGACTGGTAGATCTGGGGTTGGAATCCAAACCAAAGAATGTGACTTCCTGTCCAAATGAAGTGAACTTGGAATAATTCGCCAAAATGTTAATCACTTGTTATAACATCAGTGTCAAACAAAAGTGAATGAAGAATTCAATACGGTATTTTTGGTATTAATATAAATACATTTTACAAGTTAAAATGTTCCCTTGGAGACAATGTAATGTTATGAAGTTTGACTATGTTTCCTTGTATTTTTCTCATTGTAATAATCAGCTTTCTGATCTCAGAGTTCCATGTACTTTGTGTCCTGTTTTTCTTTGTACCTCTGGGATCCCGCAACAGGAGTATTGAAGGAAGTGTACTGAATACGCACATTTCAATAAAAACAAAAAAACATGTAGGATGGTTTGGAAGGCTCCACTGACTTCTAGGAAACTGAGTTCTAAGAGGTATGGGAATATGAAGCCTGTCTTGCTTTGCTAACAGCCTCAACCTCAGTACAGGGCAATTACTAGAACATAGGTGCCTAATAAATTAATATTAATTTAGTAAATCAATAATGATGAATAAGTGAAACGGTTCTTCGCAAGCCCGGTTTAAATCCATCAGCATCTAAGTTTACTGACTGGTTCCTTCCGCAGACCACTTCTTCAGGGAAACCACTCCTTCCAGTGGTGAGGTGTCTGTCAATCCGCGCGAGGACAGGGTAGGGGCAGGCCTTGCGCCAACTGCCAAGATTGAGTAAGAGGGCTTTAGGACCCGGCGAAGCACGGAATAAAGCTTGGAGACAGGTCTAGGGCAGACCTTCGCGCACCCGTGACGTTACTAGCCCGCGACCGCTGGAGTGGGGGCGCCGAGATCCGTGGAGCACGTTTCTTTCTCTGCTCCGCTGCCACGCACCATGGCGAGCCCCGTCCAGCAGCATCCCCAGTCTGGCGGCGGGAAGCGCAAGGGCAAGGCTCAGTACTTGGAGGCCAAACGTTTTCGTCGCTGCGAGGGCGGCGGGCCCCGGCAGTTGGAACCCGGGCTAAAGGGCATTCTCATCACCTGCAACATGAAGGAGCGCAAGTGCGTAGAGGAGGCCTACATTCTGCTCAACGAATACGGAGACGATTTGTATGGGCCAGAAAAGGTACCGGCCCTGGGGCAGGGAGGTCAGCCGGCAAGCTTTTGAGGGAGGAGGGAAGGCGGGTGTGTGTGTGCGTGTTTGTGTGTGTGTGTGTGGGGGGGGTGAGGCGCGACGGTCCGGCCTTTGGGCGCAGGCCCAGTAGTCGCGGGGGAGGAGGGCGTGGTCTCACTTGCCCACCCCTTCCCTCCAGGCCCCGCCCTGGCCCCGCCCTCCCATTGTCTGGTGGCACACCCACGCCTAGGCTTGGGCTGAGAATGCTTATACCTTATGCTTAAAAAAAGAAACTTTATTTGTTCATTTTTAGAGAGAGGGGAAGGGAAGGAAAAAGTGGGAGAGAAACATCAGTGTGTGGTTGCCTGTCATGTCCCCCTACTGGGGGCGTAGCCCACAATCCAGGAATGTACCTTGACTGAAAATGGAACCAGCAACCCTTTGCTTCACAGGCCCATGCTCAATCAGCCAGCTACACTAGCCAGGATGCACTCTTTTTTACCCCAACTGTTGATCCTGGTGTTTTCTATTTATAGGATACTTCATTTACCCCATTGTTAATCCTGGTGTTTTCTATTTATAGGTTACTTCATGCTGTCTAGGCATTGTGTTTCTGAAGCTTTTTCAGAAACATTTACTTATTACGGCAGTCTTATGAAGTAACATTCAGGAGGACAGGAGGGTAGAATAGATTAAGTAGATGGTCTAGTTTCACAAGAAGTAAACATCATTGGTCCTCACGGATTTTTGCCATATTGTACCAGTATCTGAACGCGGTGGTGGTAATAATGTTTGTCCTAAGAAGTATCTTTCTGAAATAGTAAAAATACATTTTTATTTTTAAATTTTTAATATATTTTATTAATTATGCCATTACAGTTCTATTTCCCCCCTTCATTCCCCTCCCCCCTGCACATCCCCTCCCCCACCATTTCCCCCTTTAGTTTATGACCACATGTCTCAAGTTCTTTAGATTCTATATTTCCCCTACTATTCTTGCTCTCCCCCCTATCTATTTTCTACCTACCATCTATGCTACTTATTTTCTGTACCTTCTCCCCCCTTCTCCTTCTCCCACTCCCCTGTTGCTAACCCTCCATGTGATCTTCATTTCTATGGTTCTGCTCCTGATCTAGCTGTCCTCTTAGTTTGCTTTTGTTTTAGGTGTGGTTCTTAATAACTGTGAGTTTGCTGTCCTTTCACTGTTCATCTTTTTTAATCTTCTTAGGTAAGTCCCTTTAATGTTTTATATAATAAGGGCTTGGAGATGATGAACTCCTTGAATTTGATCTTATCTGAGAAGCACTTTATCTGCCCTTCCATTCTAAATGAAAGCTTTGCTGGATAGAGCAATCTTGGATGTAGGTCTTCGGATTTCATGACTTGGAATACCTCTTTCCAGCCTCTTTTTGCCTGTAAGGTTTCTTTTGAGAAATCTGCTTACAGTCTGATGGGAACTCCTTTGTAGGGGACTGTCCCCTTAGCTCTTGCTGCTTCTAGGATTCTATCCTTCATTTTAATCTTGGCTAATGTAATTATGATGTGCCTTGTTGTGTTCCTTCTTGGGTCCAACTTCTTTGGTACTCTCTGAGCTTCCTGGATTTGCTGGAAGTCTATTTCCTTTGCCAGATTGGGGAAGTTCTCCTTTATTATTTGTTCAAGTAAGTTTTCTACTTGTGGCTGTTCCTCATCCCTTTCTGGTACCCCTGTAATTCGGATGTTGGAACGTTTAAAGATGTCCTGAAGGTTCCTAAGCCTCTCCTCATTTTTTTGAATTCTTGTTTCTTCATCCTTTTCTATTTGGTCATTTTTTTTCCTCCTTCTGGTCCACTCCTTTGATTTGAGTCCCAGTTACCTTTCCATTACTGTTGGTTTCCTGTGCATTTCCATTCATTTCAATTAGTTTAGCTTCCATATGTTCCTCTAATTTGTGACTAAAATCAACCAGTTCTGTGAGCATCCTGATCACCAGTGTTTTGAACTGTGCATCTGAAAGTTTTGCTATTTCTTTATCACTTAGAGTTATGGGCTCTGGGGCTTTGAGATCTTCTTGAGCCATTTTTGGTCTGTTCGCGCCTGTTAATTATGAGGAGCAGAGCCTTAGTTGTTCACCAGGGCAGGGCCACCCAGGTCGCTGGTTTGTGACGCTGATGTGGGGGTGGGGCCAGAGAGGGACAATGGCGGTTCTCTCTGTCGCTTTCCGCAGCTGGGGCCTGCGCGGTCCGTCTCACCGCCGCTAGCTCCTTCACCAGTTTATCCCTGTGCAAATGTTTGACTACGGTCCGCCCTCAGTGGGTCCGTTGCCTTGCATCCTCAGTGGGTCCAATGCCTTGCACCCTCAGTGGGTCCGCCTGCTTCTCTGCACCTGGGATCCACCCATGGCTGCTGGTGCACCTGGGTAGTGCGCTGGGTCAGTCCGTAGGATCTTTCCTGCCACTCTGCTGCTGGCTCTGCCCCTCTTACTGGTTTGGCTGAAGGGTTCGTTGTTGTCAGACTTCCGTGTACTTCAATTTTCTGTGGTTTGGCTGCGTTTTTGTTGCTAAAACTTTGTTGTTTTTACACTTGGTTGTGTGAGAAGGTGAAGTGCTTCCACCTACGCCTCCATCTTGGGGGAAGTCTCTAAAAATACATTTTTAAAGTAAAAACTTTTTTTTTTTTTTAAGTAAAAACTTTTGTACCACGTCAAATTACATGGCTCCATCGCAGTCAGCAGATCTTTGTGTTCTTAGTTTGGGATCTGGACCAGCATGTGTATGACACCCGAAGAAGGAGGGTTAGTGCAGAAGAGATTGAAATTTAGTTACTATCATTTACTGGCTCTGTGGTTCGGGCACATTATTTGCTTTTGCTAAGCTAGATAAAAAAAGAAAATAATGATAGTACTTTTTTCTTTAAGATTTTATTTTTTATAGAGAAGTTTAAGGAGGGAGAAAGAGAGGGATGGAAACATCAACGTGTGGTTGCCTGTCATGTCCCCCCTACTGGGGGCCTAGCCCACAACCCAAGCATGTGCCCTGCCTGCGAATCTAACTGGTGACTCTTGGCTCCCAGGCCAGCCCTCAGTCCACAGAGCTACATCAGCCAGGGTAGGACAGTACCTTTTAAAGTTAACTAGAAAGTTGCTTATATACATGAAGTACATCCTCATGTATAATAAAGCCTCCAAAAATGTGTACAGTTTCTAGTGCTTGATTGAAATGGGGTGGAGAACTGGGCAGCAAGTGCTTGTCCTTTCTACAGTGGTGTTTTTGAGGAAGTTCTTGAACTAGTTCTGTTCCCTGTTCCTCAGTGGAACTGGAATAAGGGTTTTTAATTCAATAATTATTGGTTGAATCTGTTCAAAATGGGAATGTTATTAAGCACAAAAGTATGTAGTGATGGGACTGAGGTCCACTCTGGAATGATTTATCTGGTGAACACATTTCCCTCTGTCCCAGACTGTCAAAGTGCCTTTGAAAACATTTTGAAATTATGTACTCCACAGTCTGAGAGAACACCCTCCTTCATCCTCATTTTGGAGGGAGTGAAGTCTCAGTCTCTTAAAAAAAAGTTTGTTGACAATATTGAGATATTTTCCACTGGGGGTTTCACATAAGTAGTTAATTGTAGCTTTTCATATGAGCTGTTATGGTGTTTTTGTTCATTAGTTTTATGCAAACAGTTTGTAGACAAGGATCAGCAGCCCTGTGGAAGTGAACTCGGAGATGATGATGATGTGGAGGCTGCCTTGAAGAAAGAAGTTGGTGAGATTAAGGCATCTACGGAGATGAGGCTAAGAAGATTCCAGTCAGTGGAGAGTGGAGCCAATAATGTAGTCTTCATCAGGACACTTGGGATAGGTGTGTCTGACTAATACACTTTAACATTACTGATACTGTAATATCTGGACATCTCCCTATCACAGAGAACACTACCTACAAAATGGCTTCATGGTTGTGGTTCAGTTAATTATTTGATTGCATCCTCTCTACACTGTCTTGTCAGTAGGCATACAGAGAGATAGAATGGGGTGGTAGACATAGCAATGATTTATGAGTGAAAACTTGGATTTGCTACTTTGTTTATATGCAACTTTAGGTAAAACAATTTCTGTCTAAAAGGAGAAGCTGCTAGTTAGCTCCAGTCAATTTGGAATGGCTTCAGACTTTAGGGAATGTCCTGCTAGGGCTGAATCTTCTGATTTTTCAAAAGAAGTTGGAAATCTGGAGAAGTTTCTAGATTTAAATGCAGTTAAATAATTTAAAAGTATTGAAAGCACTGAGCAGCCTCAAACAGACTTGCATGTTATCAGGTCGTGGCATAAGGACTACACAATGACCTTGTACACTCCATGATTTGCGGCTCCTCCAAAGACTGAAATCTAGATTTCTGTACAGACTTAAATAAGTAACTTGCAGATTCTGTTTTGTTTTTATTAAAAAATACATACTTTTGTTAGTCGCCATTTTTAAAGGAAAACAGCAGTATGGTTTTGTCATTGGCTAAATCAGACATTGCAAAAATGTAACTCCAGTCTTCATGAACAGTTGTTGTTTAGTGAAAGCAGTAATAAGCTGAGAGGTAAAATATTAGATAGAGTATTAATATATATTAGGCACTGAAGAAATATTAATTGGAAAACATGGTTGGTTAGACTTATTTAAAATTTATTATGATAATTTCTTCTACTCTGTTATCAACTTAGGTCACTGCCAATGAAAATTCATTTTAGAGAGTTTGGAGAGGCTTTAAAATGTCTGAGAATTTGTAGTCTCAACTTGTTTGTCCCGTTTCGCTTTTTTTTTTTTTTTAGAACCTGAGAAATTGGTGCATCATATTCTCCAGGATATGTACACAACCAAGAAGAAGAAGACTCGGGCTATTCTGCGAATGTTACCCATCTCAGGCACATGCAAGGCTTTCTTAGAAGATATGAAAAAATATGCAGAAACTTTTTTGGAACCCTGGTTTAAAGCTCCAAATAAAGGGACATTTCAGATTGTATACAAAGCTCGAAATAACAGTCATGTGAATAGAGAAGAAGTTATCAAAGAATTGGCAGGTATGTTTCTCTTAGTGATTTTGCATTGGTAGCAGTAATAAATAGTTGTTCTTCTTTTTAAGAATTTTTTAAAGAAACTTCTGCACTGTTCCAAAGAGATGACACCAGTCTGCATTCCCACCAAGAGTGCACTAGGGTTACCTTTTGTCCATGTCCTCACCAGCACTTGTTGTTTGTTAATTAATTAATTAATTAATTAAAGATTTTATTTATTTTTAGACAGAGGGGAGGGAGGGGGGAAAAGAGAGAAACATCAGTGTATGGTTGCCTCTTACATGCCCCCTACTGGGGACATGGCCCACAACCCAGGCATGTGCTCTGATTGGGAATTGAACTGGTGACCATTTTGTTCACAGGCTGGCCACTCGTTCCACTAAGCCACACCAGCCAGGTGTTTGTTGATTTATTGATGATAGGCATTCTGACAGGCATTCTGGTAGGCATCTCATTGTGACTGTGACTTTGCATTTCTCTGATGGTTAGTGACATTGAGCAACTTTTCATGTGGCTGTTGGCCATCTGTATGTCCTCTTTGAAGAAATGTCTATTCAGGTCCTCTGTTCACTTTTTAATTGGATTGTTCATTTTTTTGGTGTTGAGTTGTCTTGAGTTCTTCATAAATTTTGGATGTTAACTCCTTATCAGATGTGTCATTGGCAAACATTTTCCCATTCAGTAGGTTGCCTCTTAATTTTGTTGATGGCTTTTCTTACTGTACAAAAGCTTTTTTAGTTTACTGCAATCCTATTTGTGTATTTTTTCTTTTGTTTCCCTTGCCTGAGAAGATTTACCAGAAAAAATGTTGCTAAGAGAAATGTCCAAGATTTTACTGCCTTTGTTTCCTTCTAGTAGTTTTGTGGGTTCAAGTCTTAAATTTAAGTCTTTAATCCATTTTGACTTTATTCTTGTATATGGTGTAAGAAGGTGGTCTGGTTTAACTTTCTTGTATATGTCTTGTCCAATTTTTGCAGCACCATCTATTGAATCGACTGTCTTTGTTCGATTGTATGTTCTTGCTTTCTTTATCATAGGCTAATTTGATCCTATAGGTGTGGGTTCATTTGTGGACTGTTTGGTTCCATTGATCTATATGTCTGTTTTTATGCTAGCACCATGCTGTTTTGATTACTGTGGCCATGTACTAATAGTGTAGCCTAATATCAGGTAGTGTGATACTTCCCACTTTGTCCTTATTTTTCAATATTTCTGTTGCTATTTGGTGAGTTTTGTATTTCCATTCAGATTTTTGGATCATTTTTTCTAGTTATGTGAAATAGGCCATTGGTATTTTGATAGGAATTGTGTTGACTTTACAGATTACTTTGGGTAGTATGGACATTTTAATGATACTAATTCTTCCTATCTACAAGCATGGTGTGTGCTTCATTTATTAGTCTCTTCTTTGATTTCTTCTTCAGTTCTTATAATTTTTTTGAGTACAAATCTTTTACCTCCTTGGTTTAATTTATTCCTGTGTGTTGTTTTTAATGCAATTGTAAAAGGTAGTGTTTTCTTAGTGTCCTTTTCTGGATAGTTCTTTATTGGTATGTAAAAATGCAGCTGATTTCTGGATGTTTGTTTAGTATCCAGCTACTTTACTGAATTTATTTATCAGTTCTAATAGCTTTTTTGGTGGACTGTTGAAGGTTCTCTATATATAGTATCTGCATATAAGAACAGTTTTACTTCTTGCTTCCCAATTTGGATGCCTTTTATTGATTGCTGAAGCTAGGACTTCTAATACTATGTTGAATAAGAGTGGAAAAAGCCAACATCCCTATCTTGTACCTGGTCTTAAGGGAAACACTTAGTTTTTCTCCACTGAGTATGATGTTGGCTGTGGGTTTTTCATATATGGCCTTTATTATGTTGTGGTATGTTCCCTTTATTCCCACTTTGCTGAGAGTTTTTATCATAAATTGGTGCTGGATTTTGTCATGTGCTTTTTCTGCATTTATTGATATAAAGAATTGCCCCATGACCCAGGAATTCCACTTCTGGGAATATATCCAGAGAAATCTAAAATATTAATTCAAAAGAATATATGTATCACCATGTTCATAGTAGCATTTTTACTGTAGCCCAGATATGGAAGTAACCCAAATGCTCATCAGTAGACAAGTATATAAAAAAGCTGTGGTGTATATATACCAGTGGAGTACTACTGGGCCATAAAAAGAAATGAAATGGCCCAGTGGTATATATACACCACATCAAATTCTTTTGTGACAGACAGCATGGATGGACCTAGAGTGTATTATGCTAGGTGAAATAAGTCAGACAAGAGAAAGGCAATTTAATTTTTTTTTTTTTTGTAATTTAATTTATATGTGGAATCTAAAGAACAAAACAAAATCGAAACAGACTCATAGGTACAGAGAACAGATTGATGGTTTTGATAGAGGGGAGGGGATTTGGAGAACTGGGTGAAAAGGTAACTATAAAGTACCACACAGGGAATGTAGTCAGTAATATTGTAATAACTGTGAGTGGAATCAGGTTAATACTTGAAATATTGGAGGGGACCACTCTGTAAAGTAAGTGATTGTCTAACTATGATGCCGTACACCTGAAACTAATATGGAATAATGTTGCATGTAAACTGTAATTGAAAAATAAAATGGAATTTTTCTTTTTACTTTATTTTTAAGTATAATTGTGCTTTTTTTCACTGAGATAGTGTGATTTATTTTTAAATTTAATTTATTGGGGTGACATTGGTTAATAAAATTATATTGATTGCAGGTGTAGAATTCTGTCATACATCATCTGAATATTGTATTGTATGTACACCACCCCAAGTCAGGTCTCCCTCCATTACCATTTATCCCTCCCTTTACCTTCTTCTGTCTCTACCCACCCCCTTTCTCTCTGCACTGTACTAAAATAAATTTTTAAAAAAATTGTTTTTTAAAGGTATAAGCCTTACATTTTTGAGTTAGAGCAAATATATTTGAGTTTTTAAAATATCATCAAACCTAACTGGTTTTAGTATGTTGGATATGAGAGTTTTCTGGTAGTTAGATATTGTTTTCCAAATCAAGATTCAATTTTTGTTTGAAAGAAAGTACTGCTATTAAATGTCATAGGATTTCATTTGTATTTATTTTTTGAGAGAGTTAAGGGTATTTGACTGAGGTCTGTTTAGAAGAGTAGACTTGTATTTGTTTTGGTTTAACAAGTCCCAGACCAAAAGAGATGAAAGATTGTTTTGTATCCACCAAGCTTCAAGATACCCTTCTCAACCTAGGTGTTTTCCTGTTCTTTTTGTTACAGGAATAGTTGGAAGTCTCAATTCGGAAAACAAAGTGGATCTTACCAATCCACAGTACACAGTGGTAGTAGAAATCATTAAAGCTGTCTGTTGCCTGAGTGTTGTGAAAGATTACCTGTTGTTTAGAAAGTACAATCTTCAGGAGGTGGTGAAGAGTACTAAGGACCAGCCGCAATTTATCTCCAAGCAGACTGTGCAAACAGGAAATGGAAAAGAAGCTAAATTGGAAGCTGATGGCAGATCAAATCAAAATGACCCAGCAGAAGAAAAAAATAACCAGAAGGTGGTACTGAAGAGTGAGGAACTGGGGCAGACAAAGCCAGTATCTGAGGTATCAATGGCAAATGAGGAAGGAGCTAAACCTGAACTTGCAAGTCGAGTCACAGAAGCATCTGAGTCTAGTGAAAATGACCTCTCATAGGAAAAAAAAATCATGTGGTGTTGAAGATGAGTTTTTCAACTGAGATTCTGTGAACTGTTGGTGGGGTTCCTTATAAAATTGTTACTGAAAATTTTGGTTTTGAACTTCTAGTGCTACATAACACTGTGCTCACAGTGCTGAACAGTGACCAAGCAGCCCTACTGACAGTTTTCTTAGATTGTTTCAGCCCTATCTGGCAGTGTACACTTAGCCCATGTGCATTTGGGTGAGTCACGGGAAGCTGAATAATTGGGGAACACTCTTATACATAGGGGAGTGTGGTAGGAGGATGACATTGGCCTCTCCCTCATGATTACCTCCCCTCCCCTCCCCTGCACTGCCAACTCACTGATGGGAGTAAACTAGCTCTGTAAAATACAAACTTTGAGGAAATTTTCATTCTAATGAAGGAATTTTTGTGTGTCGCAACTCAGTTGTCTCCTGCCATTTTGTAGTAAAGTTTGTAAAAACATGGGTCGGTCAGGTAGGCTAGAAGTGAATTGTTTTGTGACATTTTTATACTTTTTGTGGTTTCTTATTTAGCTATTATGCCCTTTGATATATTTTACTAACATTAGTTGCAAACAAATCTGATGGTCCTGTGCTATAGTTTTTGAAGGCAGGTATGGCATAGAGGAGGACCATGCTAGGCATAGAATACACACATTTCTGATATGGTTAGTGATGAAGAATTACAGATTTCTGAGTTACTGTAGGATATTGCTACAACAAGGGACAGAGAGAGATTCTTACTTTACAATGAAAGCTACTTCTCAATGGTTATGTGGATTTATAATCCAAGCTGTCCTATTCCATTGTATATTGTCTGTGGAATGCAACTTGTAAACCTAGCATTTGGTCCAGCAGTTGTAACTATAACTCATAGCCATTTAATAAGTAAAGGTGTTGATTACTTTAAATGCTTTTTGGAATATCAAAACAGTAAAGTTTTTGTTAAATTACATTTAGTAAAAAGTTTCAGAGAGCAAAATATTTAGTAATAGAACTTACTCCACAAAATAAAGTTTCTCATAGTTGGGAAGAATCTAACAATTCCAACATTGAATGCTAGGGCAAGAAGTTAAAAAATTGAAAATATTTTACTCTAAGAAATTGACTTATGTCATATGATGCTAAAAAGTTTTTTGTCATTAACTGCAAAGAAGCAGCTTCTCTATCTGGGTTGAGAGCAACAGATTTTATGAATATTTATTGTTTTATTTATTTTTTAATATTTCAGTTACAATTGATATTCAATATTATGTTAGTTTTAGGCATATAGCATAGTGGCTAGACATTTATATAACATGAATATTTGAAATGGTGTAGTATTTGCAAGATTTATAAATGATGATGACATTCAAGAAAATTTTTCAGCTACTAGGAACTTCTAAAACAAAGACTGATATACATTTAATGGGTCTTTATATCTGAAAACTAAAGGTCTGTCATCTGTACTCTTAGTGGCCCATCAGTTGTTGGCTTCATGACAACTTTCGCCTCATTTTAAAGGATAATCCTAATGTTGATGTTATAGCACACTGCTTTCTTCACAGAGAGGTGCTGATATAAAAAACTGGATGAAATGAAAGTGTTGGATAATGCTACAAAAATGGTTAGCTCTGTTACCCATTTATTCAATATAGTTTTTTTTTAATCCAAAAAATAAAACGTGAACAAACAGCACATAACTCTTTTACATACAGACCCCAGTGGCTTATTAGAGGGGGATACTTGAGTTGAAAGGTGAATTACCAGAGTACTTACAAGAAAATACTGGGCCAGATTTTGCTGAATGCTGTGAAGATGAAGAATGGCTATAAACACTAGTCTATTTGGCAGACATTTCTCATTACATGAGTAAATGAACAAGTTTCTGCAGGGTCCTGGAGAAAATGTTTTTTCTTAGAAGTGACAAGATTCTTAGATTAAAAAGACATGAAGTCTGGGACAATCACCTTGCCAAAAGAATTCTTGAAATGTTTCCAGAGCCACTTGGGCTTGAGAATCAAGAAAGTAACAAGTCTCAAGCCATTAAAACTTTTGAAGTAATTGCAACACCAAATTAAATAGCATTTTCCTTCTTTTCTTACTACTTGTATATGACTGGGTGAGGCTGTAGGGGAGCTCAGTCACCTGGGCGATTTGATGTTTTGCCAAAATACGCTACATGAGGCCTGATGCATGAGTGGGCACATTGTCATGATGAAGCTGCCGATCAGCAGTTGCCCATAGCTTATCTGAATAGTTTGTGCAGAGGAACGTTCAAGCTTAATGCAAAATTTGATGCAGATTCGTTGCTCTATTTGCTTGGTCATTTTGAATGCGATAGTCACATAGAACATATGCTCACTCAGTGGTGTCTACTGTCCCCCTGACTAGTACAGTGAAGTCATTGTTCAGCATGTGCACTCCATTTCACTGTCCTTGGCTGTTAGGTTACAGTGATGTCGTGCAAACCATTCTCACAATAATGGCTGGACTTTTTCTGTACATTGTACTTAGAATGTTAACTCTTTTTTAAAAAGATTTTATTTCTTTATATTTAGAGAGGAAGGGAAGGAGAGAAGGAGAGAAATATCAATGTACGGTTGCCTCTCATGAGTCCCCTGCTGGGAACTGACCTGCAACCCAGGCATGTGCCCTGACTGGGAATCGAACCTCGATCATGTGGTTTGCAGGCCCGCACTCAATCCACTGAGCTGCACCAGCCAGGGCTAGAATGTTAACTCTTAATAGGTTAAAGTCATCTTGAAAGGGTGATAAGAGCATTCTAAGTATCATTTTGGGGAACACAATAGGATTTTGATGCCTTACAGACTTGCTCCAAGTTAAAGATTACTTTTATTTCAATAGCACAAAACTCTGGGTCTCTGGAAGTAAAATGGATTTAACACACAGAACATAACAGCTCTGCAGAACTGGGTTCCTTTAACTGTAAGAAAGCTCGAACTTTGGTGTAGTAGTTTGTTTTAACCCCTTTTTGCATTCATTTGTATTCCATAAAACCTGAGTGTGACAAGAGCTGTGCTTCCCCAGCTGTCAAGTGCTGTATTCTGTTGGAATCTGAAGTTACTCAGTGAAAGATTTGTTTTCAAGTTTACCAACTGTTTATTTTCACTGACATTTGAGCATGTTATTTTATAAATGATGAGTTTCCTGGTTAGAATTGAATGCTTTTGGCCCTGGCTGGTGTAGCTCAGTGGGTTGAGCACGGGCCTGCAGTCCGCAAGATTGTGGTTCAATTCCCCGGCAGGGCACATGCCTGGGTTGTAGGCCAGTTCCCAGTAGGGGCCAGTTCCCAGCAGGGGATGCACCAGAAGCAACCATACATTGATATTTCTCTCCTCTCCTTCCCTTCTAAAGGTAAATAAATAAAATAAAAAAAAAAAAAGAATTGAATGCTTTTGTTTTTCCTTTAAAAAATCTTGTCAGTTTTAAAATGTCCACCTCAGTGTTTTGGTTAAGTAAACTTAATTGTTTTGCTCTATGGAGGGAAGAGTGTTAAACTTGCTACTTTAAAACATGTTTCTCTAAGGTAAAACATGATTTCTAAATGTTACTTTTACTTGTATTGTTTTTGGTATGGCAAAATATCGAGCTTATTTTTAATAGTTCCTGATATTTTTAGAAAAAATAAAAAACATTCTGTAAAGATTGGTGTCCTGTACTTTTTCTTTCTTTTAGTAAATCTCTTGCATTATAATGAGTAGATATATTATAAAAGATGTTTCTATGCCTAATTATATATCAATAAAAGTAATTATATTGTACTAAAAAGTAAAGATACAAAAATTTATTAATTGCTCTTGAATAATTTATTTATCCAAGTTTCAGATATTTTATAGTGAATATGCTTCAAAATGAGTTATAGTAATGTTGTACTTAATTAAATTTACTTACTGGCTTTTGAATTATATATACTTCTCATTTTATCATTAATATTTTAATCCATCTTAAAGAATTAGTAATAATAGCCCTGACCGGTGTGGCTCAGTGGATTGAGTGCCAGCCTATGAACCAAAAGAGTTGCCAGTTCAATTTTCAGTAGGGTACATGCCTGGGTTGCAGGCCAGGTCCCCAATAAGTGGGTAAATGAGAGGCAACCATACATTGATATTTCTCTCCTCTTTCTCCCTTCCCCCTCCCTTCCCCCTGTCTAAAATTTAATAAAATGTTTTAAAACATGAATTAGTAATATATAAACATGTTAAGCAGAATTCTGTCTTGAACATTTCCAGAATACTTCTAATCTTTATTTTGAATTAATCAGGCACAAAACAAATTAATTGTCCACTGTGATTTTACAATCAGTCATTTGACCCCTGCAGTTTTAAACCCTGCAAGACAATCATTGCTTTTGTCAGTTTAATAACAGTTTTCTTCTCAAGTATTTTTTTATTTTTATTTATTTTTTGGCTAAGTACGAAACACAAACTCAGTTGAATTTTCAACCAGGAGAAATCTGAAATGTTTTAAGAGTTGTCACTGAATTATCGGGAAACAGACTAAAAGAAAGTGACTCCGTAAGTTCTTCATGACTCAGTTTCCTATCAGGCTATGTTCGTCCCCATTCGTGGTCTCTCAGAATGTTGCGTTTGATTTTCCCAGTGATTGTCTTTGGGAGGTTTTCAACAAATTCCACCTAATTAAAAAAAAACATATTATGAAACACTTGATTCCATTTTGACTTATTACAGTCAGTACAATAGTAGAAAGTATTCATGAAGTTCTGTCATTAATTTTACTTAGAGTATGCGGGTTGTCTGAGCCTAAGCTCATTGAATTTGGGGGGTACCAGAAACTTTTGTTTATATAGTAAAGATGACAGTGGTGCTTCATTATGTTTTTTTTAAGTGCCCATTCACATTCTAGCTTTGCTAGAAGAATGTGATCTTTCACTCCATTGCTTTCTTCCAGTTTAAACTAGACCTAGGCCTCTACTGCTCCAGGCAAATAGAGGCCATATCTAAATGCACAGAGTAATAGTTAATCTAGGGTTTTGAGCTTTATTTTAAAAACTGGGTTCTGAAGGTTCTGCAGGAGATTTAAAGGTAATTTTAAGTAGACACTATTTTCTTATGCTTTGACTTACACTCCCTCAAGATAAGACTAAACTATACTGTAAAATAACCTCACACTTCTCTGAAAATCAATTGGTCACTCACTGAGTGAATTTAATGGAGAAAGTGTAACTAGTTCGTAGGTTGATATTGACTACTTGTTTGCCAAAATCATGCCAGTTGACATGGGATTTTCATCATTATCAACCAGTAGGATTCTTGGACTGCAAGGACATTGCAGCACCATCTCTGTGTATAGAATTATTCTTAAATCCCCCTTTGAAGAATGTTTCAGGAAAGATTTCACAGTTTGGATATTTTCATCCTGAGCCTTAAATTTGGTCACTTGAAACTTAAGGGCCTGCACTTTGAAGTTATAAGCATATTATGGCCTAAGAGTACTATGGTAGATAAATCATCTACTGTCTTTAAAAACAGTTTGCCACCATTGTTTTTCTCAGGTGGTCTGATTTAGTCCTGTGAGGCCTCTTAATAGTTTCTCAGTTTTATAGAGTTGATAAAAACTTCTGGTTTATTGTAATATCCTAATATAAAATATTTTAAAGCAAAATTTTTATGGCTAAACAAGTTGAAATATATAATCTGTACAGAATGAGCCAACCTACATTCAAAAGCTAGTAAAATCTATATATTGTACTTAACTAGCTTAGACCCTGGTTTGGTCACATATACTTATTTTTGGGCAAAATACTTGCCTTTCTTGGATATTTGTAAGGTGCAGTTGATTTTTTCACATGATCCTGAAGTTCAAGAGTTAATTTCTCAGGGTTGGATGATTTAAAGGGTGCAGATAAGACAATAAAAGCTTTCACTACCTGTAGGAGAAGAGGTATCAATTGTATCAATTTATCTTGAGACATTTGTTTTTCAGACACATCAAGAGTTGGGAACCAGTGCTGAACTCAGGTACTCATGATTTGTTAATAACTTAAATGATGAATGCAAATGGCCAGTGATCACCTCTGAATCTGTGAACAAAGTGTGGGTGGGTACAAGTTGAGATTTTGAGATCTAATTGCAAATGGTGGCTTGTGAGTGTGAGGAGTGTAGTGGATCAATAAAGCTGAGGGTTGTTTTATTTATATGTTGCATATATATTTAACATTCCAATCTGACTCAGCCTTTTTATTACATAGGCTGTCCTTGGCTTGCAGATGACTGCTTACTCTATCAAACCTGTACTGTTAGGAGCATGTAGTAGGGTGATAAATGGAGGTTCTAGGGAATGTGTGGTTTGAAAGGGGTTTGAGGAGGCCTAAAGGAGGATTGTGTATGATGGGAGATGAAATCTCAGGAAGGATCAATCCACCTTTGAAAGGTCTTTCTTTTTCTTTTTTACTCAAAGATATGTTTATTGATTTGAGAGAGAGAGAGAAGAGAAACATCTTGCCTGATATTTTTGCTTCTCTTTGCCATGCTATTTAAAACCCATCAGTTAAGTAATTATTGAGGTTAGCGAGTATAGTTTAAATTATTCATGTTGATTCTAAGTTGTGTCTACTTTTAATGTTTAGCTGAAATCAGTTATATTGAGAGAATGAGAAGATGGTGGCAGGAGAAAAATATTTTGGAGAATGGACTCCAATTGAGCAGGGAAGTGGTACGATATGTTTGAGTGTGGGATCCATGGGGTCACTGCAGAGGGTCACTGGTGCCTGAGAGGAGAGGGGAGAGAGATGTGGGAAGATAATTGATAGGCAAATTGTTTTTGTAATTTTGCCACTTGCTGAGGTCTGTAGGGACTTTCATGAGGAAAGGGATCTTTTCCTTCCATGCTATATTTAGAACTAAGGTATTGTTCTCATTCCCCAAATTTCATTTCATTAGTCCTGAGGAGGCTTGTGGAGCTTGTTTGGCAACATGGTCACAGTCTCCTATTTGTACTATTTCTGTGAGAAAATACATTCTTAGTTCATGATAATAGTATATACAATAATACCTGCAGTTTTTGCTTATGCAGTATGTGTTAGCCTTTTTTTTTCCTTTTGTAAGAGTACCCTGACTTTCCTGTGGAGGATAACCCTAACTTCTCTCTGGCAGAATTGACATTGACTCCTACTTCCAATGACCAGCATATGGTCCATTTCTGGCTGGTCAGCATATAGCGTTCCCAAGACCACACTGGTTAGAGATGTGATCCCATTCTGGGAATTGCTTTAAACTTGGAAAGAAAGTTGTCTTCTCTGGCGTTGTGAAGCTGTGCACATCTGGAGTTGGTTGCTGTGAAGTAGGAATAGCCTTCCAAATGGAGGGAACATAACAGAAGAGCTAGTAAATGGAGAGACTAAGTTTTGCCAACTTTGTGTGAACCCTTGGATGTAGCTGTATCTGTAGACCTCACATATGGGTGAAACAATACATTCCTTTTTTTTGTAAACTTAGGTCAGTTCAAGTTGAATTTTTGTCACTTGTCACCAAAATAATCCTATTACATCCCCTTTGGGATACAATTCATGTGTAAAGTTGATTGCCAATGTACATTTTTACCACATGTATGCCTCATAATGAGAATTATATGACTACTCTTGATTTACTCTTTAGAGTGGCCACACGGACAGAACTTGAAAATATAAAATAGCTACTTTTATTAGTGACATTCATACTACCTCTCCTCTGATTGGGTCTGGACTGCTGACAACAGCTGATTCAACAACTGCTGGGTGCTCAATCAGTGCACTCTCAACTTCAAATGGTCCAATACGGTAGCTACAAGAAAAGAGGTATTAGATCACTACACTACCAAGTCAGAAATCTCTTTGGGCAAGTTGTTAGTTTCCAGCAGTGGTTCATGTACAAACCCAGAGGATATGATGACATCATCAGCTCTGCCAACAAACCAGAAATACCCATCACTGTCCATCACTCCTCTGTCTCCAGTCACATAAAAATTTCCTTTTATTGTCGCTGCAGTTTTATCTGGGTTGTCCTAGGAATCAAAACATGACATTGGGGATTAATTTGGCCAGAACAGAAAAAGGGGTATAGCCTTTGCTGGGTGGCTCAGTTGGTTGAAGTATCATCCATACACCAAAAGCTTATGGGTTTGATTCCCAGTCAGGGCACATACCAAGGTGAGTTTGATCCTTGATCATACATACAGGAGGGAGGCAACCAATTGATGCTTCTCACATCAATGTTTCTCCCTTCCTCTCTTAAAAAAATCAATAAATATATCATCAGGTGAGGATTTTTTAAAAAAGGGGAAAAAAGAAAAAGGGGTATGGCATCCATGAAGTGACTAGTACTTTGCACATTCTATTTCTAAAAGAAGTTGATTTTTTAAAAAGGTAATTCATAGTATAGAAAACAGAAGGCATGAGAGTATAATAAAAAGTAAATCTTTCACTTCTAGTGTTCTATATAACACCCTCTCCCCAGGAGCCTGCCCAGGTGTGAGGACAACCACTGCAACTGGTTTCTAACAGAATTTAATCTTTATAAAACTCTCAGGAGATAGAAGGTATCCCTTTGTTACAGTTGAGGAGATAGACTTGGATGTTGTGACTTGCCCA